CAAGGATATTAATGCTTCTAGATCTGCTTTCACCTTATGTATTTTGTCCATGAAAAAAGAGGCTCAAATTATAAAGCCCACAATCTAGCTAGGTTTGCATCTACTTTTGATCAGGGGACACACACATGGCTTGGTCTGCCACATGACACTCTTTGTATTCCAATGATTATTAATCAATAAACCTAGTGGATTGTGCTAAAAGAACAATCAATTACCCCTAAAAAACCTACCCAATCGATTATGTACAATAAAAAAAGATTCTCAAAACAAGGTACTACTATGGCAAGCGGCTAGGGCCTATGGACAGCGCCGCAGCGGGAAGATGAAAATCGTTCCCTAGGAGCGCCGGCTCACACGTCTTAGTCCTCCCATCCTCAAACTCAAATGGGGACCACAATTCCCAACATTTATTCATTTGTATGCTATATATTCGACAAAATGTCTATTGCTGCCTGTCTGAAAATTTTAATTAATACCGTGGAGCAAGTGACTGATGTTGATATTGGAATTGAAGGATTTTGAAAATAAGTTCACCCTAACTCATATTATGTCAAAGATCTTTCCGGAAGGAAAAATTCAAATGGTTTATCCTTTCTTTTGCAACGTTAGAGACTTCCGTTTCTTTCTTATGCTTAACAAAGTAGTTGGTTACTGGTCAGATATAGCATGGACATACTTCCTCTGTAACTTAACATAAGTCCTTCTTTTACACTATGACACTATTAGAAAGGTATTTTTTTAAGTTAAGGAGGGAGTATATCTTACTAACCTGTTCCAAGATATTTCACTACCCATTTATCTCAGCGTATGAGGAGAAACGTCCGAGCTTCAGTGTCTCCAAGATATTTGAAGTACATGATGAATCTTTTCCTTTCATAGTCATGTTAATATGATGAAATATTGTGTAGCTTACTCTATTGTTTATCTTTTTTTGAGATTCTTTATGTTGGGTCCAAGTTCCTTCATAATGCTTGGGCAAAAAAAAACCTGTGTTTGCTCCCAGATCCTAAAGTTACTCGCTTTAGCACTCATTTTGGTGATTACACAATTACCTTGGTAGCTCATAATACTTGGTAAAGATGGCACCTAAAATTCCTTAGTGTTTCTTGCATGTTCAGTTGTCTTCGCCTGTCATTTTGATAACAAAAAAAGAGATCCATATATTTATCTCTAGGCTTTTCCATTTCGATTTCCGAGTAACCTTTTTTCTTTATGCGTCATTATTTGCAATTTATATGCATACCTTGTACTATGTTGGCATATGACTCATCTATCATCCTTTAGAAGGGAAAATGTTTGCTTCCTAGGTTTCGACACGAGAAGTTATTTATTTATAAAGCGTAGTGAAAGCCTATTTCGAGATGCATAAGAAAATTGAGGAACTTGATCCATGATACCAAGTAGCAATATTTGCATCATGTTATGATTTATGCAGGAGAGGTTGTAGATACTAGAGTATGCTGAAAAACTAGCCTATGATTGGTTTTTGTAGTGGTTACTGGTTAGAGTATGAACTTTGAGTATCTCTTGGGTACATTGAAAGCACTATCGTTTCTATTTTCGCATTATTTTTACGTATAAAAAGCTTGTAAATACATGGTTGCTTCTTCTCCATACTCTTGGAAGGTACACAATTTCTTGGATAACTATTTAAGTATCAGTTCTGGGATTTGTAATTGACACAACATATCAAATAAATTCTACTCTCCATATGCTTACGATTGTATTACATATTTTGAATTTATGATGAACCACCGAATACCAAATAATAACATAGCGCAAACAAACATTGTGATACAAGCTTTATAATTGGCATGGTACATGGGCACGATGGAGAGCGCCAACCCTTCTAGTTAAACTAAACAGTGATGGTATTCTTAATAGAGTGTATTTTATCAATTGGCAAGAAAAATGTGGGGCATTTTATCAACTAACTCGCTTCCCGGCCATCAGCTAGGTGCAAGAAAAATCTTGTAGATAAGAAAAAAATTATACTAAATTTTGTCGTGTTGAATTTTATCACTGCTCTTTAGTATTAAATAATAAACAAATCGATTTGGAAAAAGCTCCATTTCATGATTGTCGTGCATTAATAGTTGAATGTTTCTTTCGTCACAATCTGAGATATGTTAAGGATACATAGATGTTTCAAGAATTGATAATAGAGTAAGTAAAAAAACATTTAAATTGACACATTAAATTTTTGCTCAAGTAGTATGGTTTTATCATTCTATATCTCGTCAATGCCTTGGTATAGAATTTAGCTCCTAATCACCCGCCAATGATAAAAACTTGAAAATAGTGGCCGATAAATTAAGTTCTCATGCGTCACTTGAGTATAATGAGCTTGAAATGTGCTATACTTTGCTGGTTTATAGTGGTCGATAGACTCTAGCGAGAGATACACCTTAAACATGGTGCACCTTTTGACTTGGCCAGATGTGGCTCATCACAAGTCAATCATTTATGAAATGTTCTCAAGAGCCCCTTTGGTTTCCCAGGTCTTAGGGATGTATTTATTGAAATATTTTAAAGGCGGGCCTCTCTGATGCCAATGGACTGATCGAGGGACAGAGGCTAGGGCAACCTTTTCCCATCATGTCCCTCCTTGTGTCTCGAAGATACAAAGCGAGTGCACCGGGAAAGGAGGGGAATGTGTAAGGCTCTTCCTGGATCTTGTCTCAGCCATGAACCCATTCATCACGAGCCTCTGAAACGCGAAGAGCATCACAAGGAACATTGCAGAATGTGCTCCCAAAAAAATAAGTCTTGGCGATTACTTAGGGTACATTGGTTCTAATGTAATCCCAAGCTACTAGTGGTACCGTCGATGGAACTCTTTGAGATTCTATTCAACCATAGGTTATCTAGAATGTCACAACTAAATAAGCCAATGAAGAATGAGAATGACAATGGATCCAAACTTTCCATTATGTTTAAACCAAATTTTGGAAGTATTTTCTATCATACATGTTTAATATAATATTAATTTCTATTATTCTCAATTCTATCTAAGATCATTCATCATGTCGTGTCAATTTGTATGTATTATTAAAATCGTTACATACATATACAATATGCTTGGTTTTTTTGCTGCAGGCGGCATGATGTTGGTTTGCATCATGGTAGGCATGTCGGCGACCTTGGTTACTACATGATAGGCATGGCTCGGCCATGCCTATCATGTTTGGCTTACTGTGCTTTCTACCTCGGCTTACCATTTAGACAAACTTGCATTCCTAAGCCAATTAAAATGATAGGAAAGGGGTGATAAGGCAATGACTACCGCTTTAAAAGAATTTTGGCAACTTCCTTACTTCTTGGCCTTTGAGATCCCTAGGGGTTATGATCATTATGTAAACAAATTAGATGATTTGTAGAGGTGGAAATAAAGTTCTGGTTATTTCTTAGATTTAGGGCGGAATCTCGTTGGATTTAACATTTTCGTAGAAATATTTTCACTATGGAGTTCCAAGTTTTTTCTGGATCTTGGCTTTTTATAGGTATTGGAAGCTCCATGATTTTTTTATAGGTATACAAAGTAGTTGTTTTGTAAAGGTGGAATAAGTGAGAATAATTTTAATAGGAAAATGAATTGTTTTCCTATCTTGTATGTGGTTGCATGGAAGTGGGCTGGATAAATATATAATAGCATGGGCTAGTCTTGGATCAAAGGTTCTTCAAGAACATCACTCGGTCCAAAGTTTGGAATAACCCAAATAAAAACCAAATGCTAAATTTAAATGCCACATAAAATCATAAAAGCAGAATAAAAACATAAAAAGCCAAATGAGCAAATTTGAGGGTGTTATAGCTATCGCCAGATAGTCATTGCCGATAGTCTATTTTCATTGTCATTGCCAAGACCCACCGCTGACGAGCCTCTATCAGCCCGTCAGTGGTAACCGAGATCATACAAGAAGCTAAGAGGAAATATAATTATGAGGATTTCACGGAAACCAAGATCATGGGCTGTTGGAGTATCTCATGCCCCAAAACAATGGATTCGTCCTTGAGAACAAATCCCCCAAAAGCAGATTATTGAAATCCCTCAAAAAAAATGATTGCAGAGGACTGATTAAAACATTGTTGCACTAATTATACATAGTGCTCGGACTAGCCTTAAAGAAGGCATGAAATTCTGGTTAGATGCCTTCTGATTGCCCCGATCCGCTCCTGTGCACATATCTCATTTGATACAATATAAAATGGCGAGTAGCTGTTTTTCGCTGTGGTGACCAATCAGCTATAAATACATCTCGCCATGATATGTTCTGTGGTGGTGCATGCACCGACCAGAGGTGATTAAAGCCTGAAATACATCTCGCCACGATACCTACCAGCTGCATGCATACACGTTGTTTTCATCCCGAATTAGTATATGGGCAAATGGTAGACCATAATACGCATATGCATGCACCGACTTGAGATCGTGGTGGAAGATGACCGGGGGCCGGGTACGCGTGATGTACTAGATAGTGATATGTGAAACCGAATTAATCAAAGACAGTGTCTTCTAAACCAAGGCCTTGTGGATCTTCACGATACATACATCATACTCCACTGATTATGACAGTGTCTTCTAAACCTTAGTTAATGCAGCATGGGATTAAGCACACAAAAATGGATTAGGCATTCTGGATACATATCAAGGATTGCCAGCATATAGTTAAGCAACTCTCATCGTTGACTCTATTAATGCATACATCGAACCAACTGCCAGCGCTAAACCTCCCACACTTTTACTACAGTACAATTTTTCGGATTTTGTGCCCGAGCATTAACTAATAAACACAGAGGACTCATGGCTGCTGCATGCATGCCACCGAGGGAAACTTCTCACTATATAAATGGAGCCACCGCCATGTTCATGCAGCATATATACACCCAAAGTAAAAGCATCTCCCCACACCACTGATAACAATGTCGATCTCGTTCTCGCAAGAGCTGCTCATCTCCACACTCGCCATCATTCTTCTTCCCCTGATGTTGTACCTCAGGTCTAGCAGATCAAAGAACCCATCAGTGCTCCCCATAAACTGGCCAATAGTGGGGGTGTTCCCTTACCTTATCGCCAACTTCCACAACCTGCACGACTACCTCGCCGTCGTCCTCGCCGGATCAGGCCACAACTTCAGGGCGCACGGCCCGCCTGGGACCGGGTTGCGGTTCTTCATCACATGCGAACCGGCCAACGTCCGGCACATCTTCACGACGAACCATGCAAACTTCCCCAAGGGCGCGGAGTTCGCCGCCATCTTTGACATCGCGGGTGGCAGCTTCTTCACCACCGAAGGCGAGCCCTGGCGTCGGCAGCGCGCAAGAGCCCAGAGAGTCTTGAGCAACCCACGGTTGCTTGCCTGTATGACCGCTTGCTGCCGCGACAAGGTGGAGAACGGCCTCCCCCCGGTGCTCATGCACATGGCGAGCACCGGGACCACGTTCGACCTGCAAGATTTGACAACAAGGCTCGTGTTCGACATGACCGCCACGCCTCTCTTTGGCGTGGACCCGGGCCTCCTGTCCTCGGACATGCCACCCATGGACGCCGCGGTCGCCATGGACACGGTCATGGAGGTGGCCTTGTTCCGGCACATCGTGCCGACCTCTGGTTGGAAGGTGATGAGGCGGCTAAACATCGGCCCGGAAAGGAAGCTCGCCGCAGCACACACGGTTCTACGAGGGTTCATTGAGGAGATGATGGAGAGGAGGAAGAGGAAGGAACATGCTGGTAATGAGGGAGCTCCTTCCGTGGACATCCTGTCTTCCTACATCGACGATCCAGACTACCAGCAGAACGATGGCTTGCTCCATGCGACGCTCATCAACTACATGATCGCCGGGAGGGACACGATCGGCACAGCTTTGACATGGGTCTTCTACAACCTCGCCCAGAACCCTCATGTCGTGTCGTTCATCCGCCACGAACTATCACCCATCGCATCACGGAAAGCAGCCACAGGCGCCAACAATAGCAGCACAATGGTGATCTTTGAACCGGAGGAGACAAAATCTCTCGTCTACATGAGAGCCGCCATACACGAGTCTCTCAGGTTGCACCCCCCGGTCCCCATCGAGCGTAAGACGGCGGTCGCCCACGACGTGATGCCGAGTGGCCATGTGGTACACGCCGGTGACACCTTATTAATTTCTCTCCACTCCATGGGGAGAATGGAAGGCGTGTGGGGGAAAGACTGCCGGGAGTATAACACGGATAGATGGCTCTCAGAGGATGGCAAGAAGCTGCGGTACGTGCCGTCTCACAAATTTTTGTCATTCAGCTCGGGCCCGAGGCTGTGCCTTGGCAAGGACGTCTCATTCATGCAGATGAATACTATTGTTGCGGCAATGGTGTGGAACTTTGATGTGGAAGTGGTTGAAGGGCAGAGAGTCCAGCCGAAGATGTCTTGTGTGCTGCAGATGAAAAATGGACTCATGGTGAAGTTGAAGAAGCGAGAAATGTAACCTTTGGTCTCTTTTTCTTATCTGCAATTGTATCTTGCGTGAGTCTTTCGCGTTCGGGACCTCAGGGTATTTGTATGTGTACTGTTGTATGATTTATTTTTCTGTCAATATAATGTTATATGAATAAAAATAGAGTGAGGATTTGGTGTCCACTAGGTGTGGCGCCCCTCGATTCAGAAGCGTTGGATCTGTATCGTGCGATGCGCTCCTCGTTCTGCAATAAGAGTATGCTAAGACAATGTGGTTATATAAATGATCTGGTAGGATTGTACGAAATGGCATGAATATGGTACATCGATGGATAGCGGATAGGAGATGGAAAAAGTAGTGCTAGGCTGCAGCAATGAATAACATCATCATATGGAAAAAAATATCATTGGAGGAAAGAAAAACAAGAACAAGGAAAAGTTTCATCACCAGAGAGAATAACCCGTACATGGATGCATGTGAGATCTTATTTAAAACACGTAAATGAAAACTAGTGTTTTTTTAGGAAAACTGATATTGGTTTGCTGTACTGTAGTAGGAGGAAGACAAAACTTAAGAGGTATGCACCCTATCTACGACCACCAGCACGTATCATAGTTTTAAAAACTAGACCAGACCGGCGGTCCGGTCGGAAAAACCATGGACCAGCATCTTGCATGGTTTTTTAAGGTGTACCGGTCTTTTAGTAAAAACCAGAAAGTATTTTAAAAGGTGCATCAACGAGGAATGAAACAGCTAACATTTAGGAAAGGCATGCTAAAGGCCCAATAAGCAACTAGGCTAATAACAATTTGTAATTATTAATGATTTGCATCCAATATTATGTGTATTCATTTGATGTGAGGTCAAAATTTTGAGAAAATACATTTAATATTTTGGTTTTTGGTCGCAAATGAACCGATGAACTGATGGCCCGAGCAATAAAAATCTTAACCAACAAAACCTCACCAGTTCGGTTTATTAAACTATGACACCTATCCGTCTGTCTCACTATTCTGCTGACCAAATCGCTAATGAGCACATACTGGCTTTTTTTTTTTAGCCAGAGCACGGCTAGTCGTTCGATGGAGAATAAGAAATTGACGGTGGATCTTGCCATGGGCCAATGCCACCCAGGTCACCTGAATACCCGATGATTCCCTATGATTATGCATAAAATAAATAACTTGGTACATACACAATGACGGAATGACTCAACTTATCATATATAGAGGGAAATAACCGTGCCTTATTATTTCTATTACTTGTTTAAGATGCAAGCCTCTTGTAATAGTTAACAAAGGAACACAATCCATTGTGATATAGAAATTATTAATCAATACATAATCATCAGACTGCGTAGTAATCCTGTCGGTCCTTACATTTGAAGACACGGCCCTGAAAAATGCTCCCTTCTTTTTTATTTACCACTATAGGAATCGACGAGTTTGTTGAGTGCACTTTATTGGGCACTCAGCAAACACACAACTTTACGGAGTGTGGTTGTAAAACACTCGGTAAAAATAGACGCTCGGCATATTGAAAGTTT